TGCACTGTCACCACCTCAGATCATCTGCATTAGGCAGGGTCAGTGTTTGGACAGGCAAACATTAATACACTGGAAAACTATGTGTGAAAATAAAGTTTTATATATAGCCCCACACCTCCAAATGATTTTTGGCTTAAAATAAATAAATAAGAAGATAATAAACACCAAAACCAGAATTACTTGGGTTAGTTTCTCTAGCAGGAAAAATCTAATTCCTTCCTCTACTCCCAGTTTAGCTGCAGAATAATTTCCTTCCTCTCAGTCTGGCAAGGAAACCATAGCAATTGATCTCTTCTCATGCCCTGCTCAGCTGATAAAGGCTCAAGTACAGTAAGCTTTAACTTTTTTTTAAATAAGGAGGCCATGAAGGACCTCACACGAAAAGTAGCTGACGTCACACACAGCTGCCACATCAGATGACAAAAGGTCACATCCAACGTCTGCAGCTGGTCCCTCAGACCTATTGGGTCATTAATTGGAGGAAAAGCAGAAATAAGGCAACAGAAATAAGAAAGCAAATTTAAAATGGAATTTCATTTGACAAGTTGGCAATAAAAAAAATTGAAAATACGTTTCTTCCTCCTGCTTCTTCTAGGAAAACATAATCAGATTGCAGAATTCTCTGAAAAGAGAAGTCATCTGCTAGAGGCACACTGTTCTGGAGACAGCCCTGGAAGACTGAACTATGAACTGTACAAGTACAAAAAGTTCTTTCTCTCCCTCTACCCCAGTATTGATTTTGACGCCTCTGCACAAAACGTTCCTGACTCATAAACATCCCTCACTGCAACAGCAGGACACTAATCCTGACACAGCTAACCTGTAATCCAGCTGTAATAAGATCACCCTAATAGAATCAAGTTAACCTGGCAAATAACCAGATGGTTCCCTTGATGCTCAGAAGAGGGAAAAAAAGCTGATGGTTCCCTTGATGCTCAGAAGAGGGGAAAAAAGCTAAGTGCCACAGGGCTCCCAGGGGCTGCTGTGTTTAACAGTCTTGGAGCCCTGCTGTCTGGGGTTCCAGGTCATGGAACGTGCTTGAACCAGGAGCCCACCTGGTGCCCCTCACTCTGCACTCCATGCAACCCCCCAGCCAGTGCAGAAAATTCATCCTGGCTCTTCACAGGGTACATCAGATGTATTTAACCCCAAAAGGACAGAGAAGAATTTGGGTGAGTCTGAGGGGGGCACGGGGCCATGCAGACACAAGGTTTTGTACCTTGCAAATGTGCCCAGGGGCAGCTGCTCAATTCAGAGCACCTGCAAGAGCCCCTCAGCTCAGCTGAAGTGATTTACTCTGCTCATTTACTGATATGCTCCCCACCACCAGCAGATAATTAATATACAACACACCACTTTCCTCCCTGGCTTTATCTCAGCTTTGAGTGCTTAGAGTTTACAGATTTAGTTCACAAATCCTTCAGCTTTACATGATCCCCCACACACACACTGTCACCAGTTGCCACCAAGCAACAGCAAGAGCATCAATTGCTCCACACACTGACAGCCTAAAGACATGGGCTCACTAATAGGGCTGAAAGAAGCCAGCTTTTATTTAGAATCACTCAACCACTGACTTCAGAAATATTTAAGTTTACAACAAAGGTGTGAACCCATACAAGTGAGTACTTTAGCATCCAAGTTGTTAATACACACATTAATTTAATTTACATAGGATGCATTTAAAGTTAAGCCTGCCCTACTGAGATGATCTGGGACTCATCACTAACAGCTTACAGTCAAACCAATGCCCAAAGCTTGTTTCCAGAAAAAACCTCCCCAGTTCTTCCACTCCTGTAGGATAAGAAGTGATCCTGCAGTATTTGAATAAGGTTACAGGGAAGGAGAATCCATGATTTTGTAGCTCAGAATATGCAGAAAAATTTTCTCTACCATTTTACCCTAAACCAAACTGGGATCACACTGTCAGTGCAGTGAAAGTTCCACTAGAGAGTGCTGACCCTTACCTGGAAAGAATCTTCTTATTTGTGAGACTGACAGGAAGGCTTATCATTTGTGTAAGACTGAGTGAATTATTGTGAAAGGTATTTTCAGCCTGAGCTACTGAAGTCTGAAACCTATCAACACTGAAAAGCCACAGGTATTTACAAGCAACCACAGAAAACCATTATAGAGCATCTTCTCTATAATTCCATATCTGACAAAAACCTTCTTGGTCCAGAGAAACATTTCAACAGCAGCTGCTTCTGGAATCCTCTGAAAATTGTTTCTGTTGGTTTTCTATAACTTCCAATTTTTGTAGGAGGTAGGTTTTGTTAGTTGAGGGGTTTCAGGTTTTTACATATCTCATTAAACTAATGAAGCTGATAACAATTGCTGCTAAGGAGGAGCTTCTCTGGCAAGGTAAGTCTAACAGCAAAATTCAAGCAAATCATTTCTCTACTAAAAAAAACCTATTTTGTACACTTTTATAAAGAAAATATTTTTAGAACTGGAAGCTGCTCAGACTGTGGCTTGTTTTTCTGACAACAAAAAAGCTCCACATTGGCACAGTAATTACAAAGACACAAGAATGAAGCTATTCTGAACTAAGGAGTAACAGCTTGTTTGAGGAAATCTAATATCAAACACTCCCACAAAGCTGTGGCCTTTAGCTTGGCTCAGTGTCAATGCACACTTGCAAGCAGAGCAGGAGCAGAGACAGGAGCTCTCACTGTGAAAGGACTCAGTTGTTGGAGGCTGATGTTGACACAGAGGCTGTAAAGCAGGGGGTGAAGGAGGAAGGGAGAGACTGCTCTGACAATAAAGCTCAACTGCTCTAACAATGAAGCTGTTTGGAAAGCAGGTGGGCAGAGGCATTAACTCACTGCTGCTCCTCACAGCAAGTTTGTGCTGCAACGTGCACACAGCACCTGCAAAACCAAACCCAGACCCACTCTGACAGGAATAAAAACCAAACAGGATTCAGTAATTGAGCCAGGCAGTCCCTAACAGGGACTAAAGGCCACGATGTTTGCTGCTGAGAACATTTGCTTGAGGGAAGTTGGGAAGTTTTCTCCTAAAGGGTAAAGAATCACCCCAGGAGAAATCCTTCACTGCTCCACTGTCCCAAATTCTCAAAACAATGATGCAACCAGCACAAACCTCCTAATTGACTGCTTTAGGAACAAGTTTACTTCTCCTGCAGTACCACAATATGTGTGTGGCTGCACTTTAAACAACTGCACAGTCTGGAGAATCTCCCACAAGTAAGACATGAACACCTCCAGCAGCCACTGTACCCCAAAGGCTGCAAAGCCCTGGATTCTCCCCAAACTCCTACAACAGCACAGCAGTGCAGGACTCGAGTTATTCACCACTTTATTATCCCTTCCAATGTTTCTACTGACAGAACATGGCAGCTGTTGACAACCAAAACAAAATTCCAAGCCTGAAGACTGACAGAGCTCTCCCTGAGCTCTGCAGGAGCGTTAAGAGCATCAGCCCAGAGCAGAGCCCCTCTGTGCCAGGGCTGAGCAGCGGCTCAGCACAGCCCAGCAGGCACAGCACACCTTCCCCTGACCTCCAGCACTCCCCAGCAACACCCCTGCACAGCGAGTTCCTCCCAAACACAGGCACAGCCCAGCGCATCCCTCCTTCAGAGCACACCCAGCACTCATGGAACCGAAGCAGAAAGCTGCCAGCATCAGTTTCCTGAGCCTGTGCTCGCTGCTGGGTTAGGGCAAAGCAGCTGCAGCCAAGCATCCCCCGGAGCGACCGGGACACCGCAGAAAAGGAATCTCAACCAAAATCCACCTTCAGAAACCTCTCCCTCAGCCCACGTTCGGCCCTGTCTTATCGCATCGCTTTTAACGGAACGGGAAGCGGCTGCACCCTGCCACTGCTGCGGTTCCGAGACCCCTCCTCACGCCTCACCCGCGGCCAGCGAGCGGAAAGAGCGGGACGGGACTTGGGGGAGGCGGGCAGCGGCAGGAGAACGGCAAAAGCACAACAAGGCGGGGCCCGGGCGGGCTGAGGCGCGGGGGGAGAGCTCAGAGAGAAGCGAAGAGAAAGAAAATTCGGGGCACGCAGCAGAACGAAGAGAGAGACGTGGGGAGAGCGATCCCGGCCCGCGGGAGGTGCGCGGGGCCGGGCCGGCCTCACCGCTCCCCTCAGGGCACCCGGGGGCCGAGCCAGCGGGGCCGGGGGCGGCGCAGACCTTACTTTGAGGGTGAGGTGGTGGACGCGGGCGCGGGCCGGGCCCGCGCGGAGCAGCAGCAGCAGCAGCAGCCCCAGCACGGCCCCAGCGCCGCGGGCCGCCATCTTTGTTCCAGCGTCAGCGTCCCCCGCGCGCCGCTTCCGGGTCAGGCCAGTCACGTGTCGGGCGGGGCGCGTCACGTGAGCGCGGCGGGCGGGGCCGGCTCCTGTCAGGGAGTCATGGAGGGGTTGGGGATGGGGGGAGCTGAGGGCGCAGCCGGTGCCACCCCCTGCCCGGGCAGGGACACCTCCCGCTGCACCGGCGTGCCCCCCAAACCCGTCCAACTCGGCCGTGAGCGCCTCCCGGGGAGCAGCCTCGCCTTCCCTGAGCGATCTGTGCCCGCGCATCACCCCCCTCCCGAGGAAGGATTTCCTCCCAGTATTCAGCCTGAATTTTCCCTCTTTCAGCGTGAACGCACTCCCCCTTGTCCCGCCACTACAGGTCCTGCCGAAGAGCCCCTCTCCGGCTTGTTTAGCCCCTTCAGCGCCTGGCAGGTGCTGTGAGGTCTCCACAGAGCCTTTCCCAGGCTGAGCGCCCCCATCTCCCTCAGCCTTTCCCCACGGGGAAAGCGCTTCCCGCCCTTTTCTCTGCCCCTCAGGCCCTGCCGGGCTGCCCCTGCCCACAGGCTGCTCCCCGCGGTGCCCCCCAGGCCGGATCAGCCCCTCAGTGAGGCCATGGCCGTGCTGGGTCCCTCCTCAGCCCCGGCACCCCTTTGGCTGAGGGGTCCCCCATGGGTGCTGGGTCCCCTCATGGCCATGGGGCTCAAAAAAAAAAACAAACCCTGAGCCTCCCCCAGACCAGCCTCTGTGGGGTGACACCAAAAAGGAGAAAAAAAAAAAAAACAAAAAAGAGTGAAGCTCTTCCTACCTCAGCCCTGCAGCATCGTCCACAGGGAGATGTGGGATGGTTGTTTACAGGGAGGGGTGAAGTGGCTGTTTCCAGCTCAGCCGTGCATCTACCAGCAAGTTCCAGCTTCTTCCTGGGAGCTATGGCAACAGCAGACGTCTGAACATCAGGTAGTCCAAACAACAGGAAAATTGCTTTTCTATTTAAAGCCAGGGTTAAAGTATTGATTTTGAGTATAGCCAGAAAAATATGTAACAAACAAAGGGATTTCTGCTGCTTTACAGGATTCGTTTTGCAGCTATTTAAATTAGTAGTTGTAGTCACATTTACAAATAAAACAAAAAGCAGATTGGGCCTGGTTTCCATGACTTGTTGCTCAAAATTAGAGTAACACAAGAAGCAAAGTGAACACAAATAGAGGCAATTAATATGGGTTTTTGGCTGACACATTGCTAAAAAACCTATAAAAATTGAAAGACTATGCAATGGGAAGCCATCAATGCCAATAAATCTAATTTTTCAGTGAGGAGCCTTATGTTTTCAGCTCCCAAAACTCAGACATTCTGATTTTCCCTTTCAGTGTGTGGAGTAACAGCTGTACAAGTTCTGTTGTCTAGAGACAGCTAAACAACTGGACTGGCAAGTGAGGGTGAAAAGGGAGAGAAAAATCAATGGCCTTGACCTTTTATTTTATCAAGATTCTGTAGTATGTCCCATCTTTATTTAGAGAGATGATTCAGATGTCCCTGTACATTTTTTTTCCCACAATTTCATTTCCTCCTTGTATATTCTTAGGTGAAAAAACAAACAGAGAAATCTCACCAACAGCCAAAGAAACCTGGACTGATACCAGGAAATATCTGGAAGCATGAAAAAAAAAAAAAATCTGTTTTTCTATCAATGTTCTTTCTCTGGGCAGTACGTGTGTGTGCCACTAGATGTCCTGGCAGCATCAGCCCTTGCACAGCACGGACCTGCAAACATCGGATGATTTATTCTAAAAAACTCCGGTTCGATATTTTCTTGGAATTTGGCGGGGGGTGGGGGAGTTGCGGGGGTTTTGTTTGTTTGTTTTGTTTTAATATTGTAATTATTATAATCCCTGTGCATGGACCACCTCGGAAATCTGGGGAATTTTGACTCCTGAGAAACAGCTGTTTGCAACCACAGCTGCAGCACAGCTTGTCGTGCCGATAACAATTATCAGGAGCACTTTGACTGCTCGCGTGGTCAAGAAATTCCCTTCTAATTCTGAGATTTGGTTCACCTGCAGAGCCTTTTTTAGTCTGAGAATGGGAGCTCTCTTCAGAACCTTCCTTCAGAAGAAAAATCATCTTTAGCCTGAGGATGATTCCTAACAATCAGAGATTTGTATGCAACAGAATGGAAATTTTCTGAAGATCTTTTTTTTTTTTCCAATATTTCTTCACCAACTATTAGGATATTGTAGTACCTGTAAGTTCCCCAATTACCTATACAAAATGAACAAAAAATAAAATTTATAACATGAATACTTTCTTTGGCTATGCATTTTTCTAAGAATTTGTATGTTAAAAGATGTCTGTATGTAAATTTACATCTCTATCAAAACAGAAAGCAGCTTCTGACTGTCATTAATGAGCTGTAACAACAATTTTCATTGTGACATCAATTTGTTTCGTTGTAGCTTCCACACAAGATCACTTTGCTGCAAGTCTGCTCTTCCCAATACATGCTGTTATTCTGAGCCTAGATACAGTTTTTCTTTACTCCTTAATTGTAATTAAACAAATAATTAGGACTCATCACAGGATGTGCGTTTTTAAAGTGTATTATGGAGAATTACTGATGTTGGATGGAAGGCATCAGCAGTGTCACAAAATCATGATGGAGGAGCAGCCTGCAGGCACAGCTCAGCACAGAATGACCCGATTGCCATTTCATGGCAAATTTACAACACCTTCTGTGAGCCAGGGTACAGGTGTGGAGCGGGGAGGCGAGCAGGATAGCACAGAGCCGGGCAGGAGCCGCTCAGGATCCATCCCTGGGGAAAGAGGGAAGAGCAGGCCCGGGGTCAGAGCTGCAGGCAGCCCAAATCGGGGCGATCTGCTGAGTTCACAGCGATGAGACAGGGGCAAGGCTGAGCTGGGAGGTCCATCTGCAGTTTGGGTGATGGTAACCGAGGTCAGTCATGGTCTGGTGATGGCCCCCAGGGACAAGGCAGTCTAAGGTGAGGTCAGATGTGAGCTTGGCTCCATACCAACCGCATCTACAGCCAGGCACAACCTGAGCTGGAACTGGAACCCCCCTTAAAACACAGGACAAAGCCACTGAGCTTTCAGGCCAGAGCTTAAATGCAGCCCCTGGATCCGCGGGCAAGGCCCCAGGTGAGGCTGGCCGGGGCCATTAGCGCTTATCAGCTATTTATCAGGTTTTGATCAGACCCCTCTGGGCCTGATGGGGCATTAAAGAGCACCGCGGGTCCCCTTTGTGTGTCTGAGTGATCTGAGTAATGTAACAGCAGAGAGGAAACAGCTGTGATGATGATGATGATGATGATGATGGCCTCTAGGAAAGGTGTGTCCCCTTCCTTTCCTGGCGCTGTTTCGGTCCCAGTGTATGAGAGGTCACAAGCAACATCCACGTTCCTTATCTTGGACATGGATAATTCGGGTAGAATTGTGGAATCAAAGGGAAGCAGCTGTAAGGGTGGGAGCTCGGGGGGGAAAGGTACGTCCTCTTCCTGCTGCATCCTGGAAGCTGGGAGTGCTTGTCCACGCTCTGAGAGTTGTGATTTTTCTTGCTTTGCATAAGTAAACAAACACAGAGTAAAAAGGTTTAGGTTGAACCGTAGTTTAGAGATTTATTTACTTTTTTCTCAATCATTTAGCAGTGAATCTGGCTGTTTTCAAGGGGGATTGGGGTTTCCTAAACAAAGTTCTGGCTTTCTAAAAATGGAATTGCTTCTAGCTGGGTTTTGGAGCTGAATCTGGGAGTGTTCTGAATCATAACAACAGGGGAGATAAACAGAGAATTTACAGGAATAGGCCCATATCTGGATAGCAGATCTGCATGGTCTTGTTCTCAGCCTGGCTGAGGGAAAATTCCTACCCAGCTTCTGTTGCTCAGATATGAATTGTGCAAACTCAGTGGAGAAGTGCTAGATAATCTAACTTCTAAGTGTAATTTTCAGGTATTTTTTGAGACTGGAACCCACTGAGCTTTCCAGCATCAACTTTGGCATAAAGGGCTCTTAATGCTCCTGTCACTGCTAATTACATTATTAATTAGGGACCAGCCAAGCTGCAGGCCCTGTTGTTTTGGGTACTACAACTGAAAGTAATAATGGAAGTGGCAGTCCCTGCCTTGGAGAGTCTCAGGCTAAACAATAAAAGCAGTCAAAAATAGGGGAGAATCCTGTTCTTGCAACATCTAGATCTAATTTTTTTTTTTAGTTTTTGACTTGAGCCTCTGTCCACAGAAATTGTGATAACTTGTAATAATTTTTGTTATGGTTTATTCTAATGTACCATCAAAATACAAAACTTGTATTTCTGGCCTTTATCTCCCTGGGACTGGTGGAGCATTTCTATCTCTCGCTGTGGACTGGTTTCCCTGCCCATGCTGGTGTAACAGGTTTGCCCTGTTCCCCTCCCAGCTCTTTGTGCAAAAGGAAATTCCACACAAACTTAGCTCAGATGATACCAGTGCTGCTTTCTGTTCCTGTACATTCTTTTTCTGCGAGTATTTATAGGTTAAGCTCTCAAAAAGTGGTGATGGAAGAGCACTGTCTGGTTTTGCAGTGTGTCCTGGTGGATGTAGGGCTGAAGATGGTGGTCTGGGAGCCTGGGGAACTACAGGCCCTTGGAAGATGTGGTTGTGCTTCAGGCAGCAGGGCAGGCTTGGATATTCAAATATGTTGGCAGTAGAAGGAAGAACTATTCTAAAATGAGCTGAACAGGGTGTCTCTTAGTTGTTATGAAGCCAGCCCTTTAAAGTAATAACTTCTAATGATGAACAAAAGCACTGGCTGTTGTGTCTCTTCAAAGACAGCTGTGTGAGGAGCTGCACTCTCCTCTCATGTTCAAATCAATGGAACTCGGATAAAAATAAATGCAATTCTGTTATTAACATTTGTCTTCATTGTTGTTCAAAATGTTGGAATTGCTTAATGTGTTTTTCTTCCTCGTGTAGGGTAAGAGCCAAGCATCAGTGGAAGCAGTGCATTAATCTAGGGGAGATAATGCCTGTTGTAGCAGCTGGTCAATTTTTATCTTCTCACATCAAAAGCATCCCCACCCTTTTTGAGCAGAAGCCTTTTACCTCAGGTGAATTAATGTGCTTCCCTTTTTTATTTCCCCCACGAAAATCTCTCATGAATAGATACAGCAATAAATATATTGGTCTAAAGCACATTTTACATTTGTTGTAGCTGAAAAGCAGAAATGCAAAGTGAGACTAAATCACACAGCTCAAATAAATGACAGAGGATCACAAAATAAATATTTTTCTGGCAAGGAAATGAGCCATTTTCTGCAAGGCCTGTGTAATTGCTACAATAACCCACATTTATGCAAAGGCAGATAATTTGGTTATTTTCCTGCTTGCTTGCTGAGCATTTTGGTGACAGATGGTGGATTTAATATTCTTGGATTTGGGTTATTTTGGGGGTGAGGGATGTATATACTGCTTAGCTGAGTTAGAAGTCAGGCCTTGCAGTGAGTTCACAGAATTAATTCAGTTGGAAAAGACCTGTGAGGTCATTGAGTCCAACCTGTGACCAATCCCCACCCTGTCAGCCCGACCATGGCATTGGGTGCCACACCCAGTTTTTTCGTGAACACCTCCAGGGATGGTGACTCCACCAGCTCTCTGGGCAGCCCATGACAATATTTAATCACCCTTTCTGTGAAGAAATTCCTCCTGATGTCCAACCTGAACCACACGACACATCTTCAAGGGTTCTAAGGCTGTGGGATTTCTTCCTTTCTAGGGCCCTCTCTTTTTACAAATGACCAAAACAGGAACATTTGTTTCAAAACCAGCCTCACCTGGCTGGGGGGGAGGGTGGTAAGAGGCAGAGAAGGGCACCTGAGGGTGGGTGGGGCTGGGATCACCACCTGTGTACTGGCACAGGTGAGGCACCTCAAATGCTGCATTCAATTTTGGGTCCCTCACGTGAAAAAGGACATTGAGGTCCTGAAGTGTATCCAGTGAAGGGACTTCTAAAACTTTAGAAAGCACAGAATCGTACCATAGTTAGGGTTTGAAGGGACCTCTGAAGGCCATCCAGTCCAACCCCCTGCAGTAAGAAGGGACCTCTTCAACCATACCAAATTGCTGAGTCCTGTCCAATCTGGCTATGAATGTTTTGAGGAATGGAGCATCCACCACTTCTCTGGGCACTCTGTAGCAGTGCTGGTGATTCTGTGAGCAGAGCGGGGAGAGCCTCCTCCCTGTGTGTGGCACCCACTGCTTAGCGACCCCCTCTTTCAACTGACCCCCACGCTCCTCAACCTGAACCACACGACACATCTTCAAGGGTTCTAAGGCTGTGGGATTTCTTCCTTTCTAGGGCCCTCTCTTTTTACAAATGACCAAAACAGGAACATTTGTTTCAAAACCAGCCTCACCTGGCTGGGGGGGAGGGTGGTAAGAGGCAGAGAAGGGCACCTGAGGGTGGGTGGGGCTGGAATCACCACCTGTGTACTGGCACAGGTGAGGCACCTCAAATGCTGCATTCAATTTTGGTCCCTCATTTGAAAAAGGACATTGAGGTCCTGGAGTGTATCCAGTGAAGGGACTTCTAAAACTTGTGTACGTTTTAGAAAGCACAGAATCACACCATAGTTAGGGTTTGAAGGAACCTCTAAAGGCCGTCCAGTCCAACGCCCTGCAGTAAGAAGGGACCTCTTCAACCATACCAAATTGCTGAGCCCTGTCCAGCCTGGCTATGAACATTTCCAGGGATGGAGCGTGCACCACTTCTCTGGGCAAGTTGTGCCACTGCTGGTGATTCTGTGGGAGAGAGCCTCCTCCCTGCGTGTGGCACCCATTCCTTAGCAACTCCCTCTTTCGACTGACCCCTGCGCTCCTCCACTGATGGCCATTCCCCGGAGAACCACGTTCCTCACTGATCCACTGCCCACTGATGGCCATTCCCCGGAGAACTACGTTCCTCACGGATCCACTGCCCACTGATGGCCATTCCACAGAAACCCGCGTTCCCCATTGATCCCCGCTCACCCATTGACGCCTGTTCCCCACTGACCCCGCTATTCCACTGATCCCGTTCCCCAGCCACTGCCGCTCCCCAGCGATCCCCTCTCCCGCAGCTGCCATCGTTCCCCACTGACTGCTGCTTCCCGTTGACCCCCTTTTCCCTGCTGATCCCCTTTCCCCATGGCCCCGCTCCCCGTTGATCCCCACTCCCCACTGGTCCACCTTTCCCCGTTGATCCCCGTTCCCCATTGACCCCTTTTCCCCGTTGATCCCCGTTCCCCGCTGATCGCCTTTCCCCGTTG